TTCTAATGGTGCTGTAATTCTTGGGTTCCATAGTGGATTTAATGTAAATTAGTTTCATATTAATATTTTTATATATATTAAACATGTAATAGCTTTAAGCTTTACTAGTTTCCTTTTATATTAATGTTACGGCCCATTCTAGGATTCCCGAAATGGGCCGTAACATTAATTGATATGTTTTTTTCAAAAAATTAATAATTTTTCATTCGATATCGTAAAAATATAGAAAAGTAATCATGTGATAAATTTCAGTTAATATTATTCGTCACGACCTTGGTCATAGCTATCTTATCGGATAAGCCAACCACAGATCAAGGATGGATGATGTGATCATTCTTTCCGTTCTGAACGTGTCGTCAAACTTCTATATTGCTTAGTGTACACATCTGTGTCGCTGCCGCAAACACATTGTTTTTATCTCATTGGCAACTCTTCAGTTTTCGATTGTTTTTTTCTGCTGCAATTTTTACTAATTCTTTGGTCACCTATTTTCTTCGTGATCCTTTGTGGTGCCCGCCTCGCTTTCTACTTACAGGTTCTCTGGACGGTACTTTTGGTCTCACATCGGGTTCAGCATGGCATACTTTACTCAAACGGAAGTCTCCAAATGGTGTTGCAATGAAGTTTTCCAATTTTACCAAAAGAATTATCCGTACTATGATCTAAAACAAATTCTGGACGCTATAAAGAAAGATCTTAAGAAATTTATAGATTCCTCTCCCAATCAAGAGCAAAAAGAGCAGGCACAGTGGATAATTGATAACTATAAGGTTGTATTAATTTTATTACGTATTGGGAGGGATAAAGCCGTGAGGCTAAAGAGGGCAAAAAGGCAAGATATGGCCAAGCTGGAACACTCTTCGTCGCCCAGTGATGAACTCTTCGTTCGTGCCAATCTTAGCTGCCTTTGGCGTAAAGCTGGAACACTCTTCGTCGCCCAGTGATGAACTCTTCGTTCTACGCCTCTTCCCCAAGCTTAAATTCTAGCATATTATCGTTATCCTTTACAATGTATTAAATTGTTTCTCTTCACCAAGAAATGGACGGAACCGATAAAAACTTTGAACAATCGGCAGCACTACAAGTAGGCTTGAGAATACTTGTTTAGGAATACTATGGTTCTGTGGTATTGACTTATGTTTCTTTTAAAAAGGCGCAGCAGCATGTGCAGGCGATGCACAAGGCAATTGAGCAAGTCAATGTTATACAGGAGTCCTTTGTGATGAACACGCAAAATGTGCTGAAAAAACATGAGCGCGAAATGTGCAATGAGCTTCTATCGACCCCAATGCCAAAGAAGGTATAAATCTTTATTGCTGTGCATCAAGGCTCATGCCATAGTAACAGTATTAATTCCTCTGGTTTTATTCAGGGAAGATATGAGTTAAGGGTACTCGTACTAATACGATAACATCGAAGTGGGAGAGGATTATGAGGACAAAGTTTTGTGTTTCTATATTGATTGTTTAATGTTGAATTTGTCATAGTCTATGTCCAATAAAGAAAACAAGAGAACAGAATTCGAGAAGCATGCTTCCAGTCATGCTTCTTCTTTTGAATATGGAGTAGGACAACACCCATTTTCGGATTGTTCACCATATGATAGTGAGGAAGATGCAGATGATGAGGTACACAGTGGCTCTCTTTATAGTGTACCTCCTTTATAGTAGAGACTAATTAAAATCGCAATATTAATATAGTGGATAAAGGTTCAAAACCATCTATAATGAATGCTATCCAATATAGTGTATTTACTAATAAATTTTCAAAAACTCTCAATATAGTGTATTTTTGAGATTTTTTTACTAGTAGATTTTTTTGATACACTATAATATATAAAGAGAGTCACTGTGTATTCAGCATTTGTAATTCGATCTTCAGCTTTTACTTTCCTACTTTACTTAGTCCTAGATTTTTATATAGTATATCGAAGAAGTCGATAAAAAACTGAAATCTGCTGAGCCTCTACTACTACAGGATCACACCAACCAACCAACTACTGACCAATCTAATATCAATAAAACATCGACCAAAATGAAGAAGACATACATGCTGAAATGGTCCTTGGCCACAGATTTAAATCCTGTTGTAATGAAGTGTGTATGTATCACCATGTTGTTTCTTTTATCCTGGTGACTAAACCTAAATAAATATATTTTTATAATAGCAATGGTTAATAGATGGAACAAATATAACTGAAGTGTTCTTCTCCTACTGGGAGCTGGCCAAGTCAAGGCAATGCAAAGAGAATTAAATTTTGCTGTGCATCCTGCAGAAATTCTGTAAGTTTTTTTTTTCCCCAAGCAAAACCTCACCAAAATGTTTTCAGCTAAATTAGTCTATTTTCCAGCCATGTTAGCCATTTTTAGCTCACATGATCAAGTGTTCACTTTGTCTGGTTTTGTTGCAGTCTGCCCCATATGACAATAAAATAGGAGATATAGGAGCAACAGCATTGGCAAAGGCTCTGGAATCAAATTCTTCTTTAACATCTCTA